GTATTTAAAAAAAAAATGTAGAAAAAAAAAAATCTTACAGATTATATATATATATATATATATATATATCTTTCTTTTTTAGGAGTCGATCACACAGCTCTTTTTTTTTTTTTTTTTTTTAAGTCACAAAAAAAAGGCAGTGCGGTGCACCGACCTAAAAAACGCATTCGGTGTGATCGGGGCCTTATTACTCTGTGTATGTATTTACTCTTATTACCCTTATTACTCTTATTTAGTATTAATTTTATTTGTGAAGGTCTTAAAAGTTCTAAAAAGTCTTAGTTTAGAAAAACTGCAGATGCACTGGAAGTAACTAATGTCGGAGATTAAAGAGTCGATATAGGGCTGTGCAATTAATCGAAAAACAATTTTGATTTTGGCCTCCAACGATTATGGAAATACAATAATCGAGATAAAACTATTATTGCGCCCCATTCCACCCCCTTTCCAGCTCTACGCGTTCGCTCCTCCATAAAAGCTCAATTACAATCAGTAAAATCATGTAACGTGACTTTTGCAAAATGGGAAGATAACGTTATATGCGCTCAGAGACGGAGCAGAACACAGACATGTAAAGTCATCTTTTAGCTCAAGCTGCGCGCCTAAATGGTCAAATACAGTCAAAAATGTGTTAGAATGCGGCGCTTGGTGATTATTCATGTATACCTTCATCTGTAATGTAATAAATGAACGTAAAGAGAGAAAATACACATGTAACAGTAAATTGGAATCTGTGCGGCTCTTAAAGTGACAGTGGCTAATATTCCTGCTGCGACTGTGTGCTTAATATTAATCAAAGACACAGCAAAAGACAAATTCAAAATCACACACTGCTCTTGAGTGAAGGACTTTTGTAGCTTTAATAAGAAACAAAGAAAGTTTAATTCTTACAGTGAAGACTATGCTGTTTTAGTTTACATCCCTCATAATCGTGTTAAATAACAGTGATTACAGTATTGACCAAAATAATCGTGATTATGATTTTTGCCATAATCGAGCAGCCCCAAGTAGATAAGTTGTTTTATTACAGAGTGGGACTGCATGGTCTTCTCATGGGGATGAGGCTTTATTCTAGTTATTTAAGGCTGTCTCGTGTCTTCTCAGGGCACCCATCCTGTCTGAAGTTCTCTCCAGAGCTCACAGCACGGGTCAAAGCTCTGTGGTGGCAGTGTATCGAGTGCAAAACCTGCAGCAGCTGCCAGGACCAAGGGAAAAATGCAGTAGGTTTTTTATTCGTCTATGTCTCTCTTATTGTTGCTGCCAGATCATGTTAATTTTGGCTGTGTCCTCATTTACAGCTCACCAAAGCTGCATTTATTTGATAAAAAATACAGTAAAAAGTAATATTGTGAAGTATTACTACAATTTAAAATAACTGTTTTGTTTTACAATGTTTCAAAATTATTATTTTTTCCTGTGAAGGCACAGCTGATCACACCAGTCTCATACTAATATGATTTAGTTCTGAAGAAACATTTAGTCTTATCATTAATTTTGAAAACGGTTGTGTTGTCTAATATTAGTGGAAACTGTGATTGTTTTTTTTTTAATGAATCGAAAGTTCAGAACAACAGCATTTATATGCAATAGAAATCGTTTTGTAACAATGCAAGTCTTAACTGTAACTTTTGATTAATTTAATACATCTTTGCTAAATAAAAGTATGAATTTCTTTAAAAAAATATAATTCTGGACATTTGAAGGGTAGAGCATATGCTTACATATGCAATTTACATTTAGTCATTTAGCAGATGCTTTTATCCAAAGCGACTTACAAATGATACCACAGATTTTAGTTTTGTAAATTTTTTGGGGTTTACTTTACAATTTCTATTTTATTACTTAACTTTAGCCCTGCGATCCTTATCACTTCTCTTCAATTGAAAAAAAAAAAGCTCCAAAAAGAGCAGTCACAATCTCCTTTAGTGTTCAAAATTCATAATTAGTGTCCTTGACTCTTGTGTTGTCTGTGTGTTTGTATTTTACAGGACAACATGTTGTTCTGTGACTCCTGTGACCGAGGTTTCCACATGGAGTGCTGTGACCCCCCACTGATGCGAATGCCAAAAGGTGAGCGTGCACACAATCAAATGCATGCCTTTTCTACGTCGTGCAATCATTGCATTTGTCTCTAGGCACACTCTATTAACCGTATATTGTGTTGATGTATTCATTTACACAAGAATTAGTTTTCTCTTTAATTACAGTTATGAGTAAAGATTCTTAATTGGTGTTCTGCAGGTATGTGGATCTGTCAGATCTGTCGGCCAAGAAAAAAGGGAAGAAAGCTCTTGCATGAAAAAGCAGCTCAAATCAAGCGGCGATATAATGCACCACTTGGGCGACCGAAGGGCAGGTATTATACACGGTTTGATTCTGTTTACAACCATATATGTGACCCTGGAGCACAAAAGCAGTCTTAAGTCGCTGGGGTATATTTGTAGCAATAGCCAACAATACATTGTATGGGTCAAAATGATTGATTTTTCTTTTACGCCAAAAATCATTAGGATATTAAGTAAAGATCATGTTCCATGAAGATATTTTGTAAATTTCCTACTGTAAATATATCAGAACTTAATTTTTGATTAGTAATATGCATTGCTAAGAACTTCATTTGAACAACTTTAAAGATGATTTTCTCGATATTTAGATTTTTTTGCACCCTCAGATTCCAGATTTTCAAATATTGTCCTTTCCTAACAAACCATACATCAATGGAAAGCTTACTTCTGATGCAATCTAACCACATGGTGAAATTTTTACCTACTATAGGTTTTGATACCATAAAAGCTGGGTTCATGCCATTTCCAAAACTGTTTTTATTTTTTATTTAGCTTGAACGTATCAAAAGTTATGGCTATCTGAAGTTGGCTAATCAATATGATTTTCAGGAACAGAATTTTGAGAAATACTGGTTTAAAGAAGAGAGGCAATGAAAATAAAAGCACAGCAGTCAAGTATCACAAGTAAAAGTCACTTTACTGTGGTAAAAGACTTATTTTAGTCACTGTACGTGTTGTAAAATATACAAAATGACCCTAATATACATTAAGTGTATATCTGTTCATAAAACATCACAGATTAAAGCATGTAGGCTATCTCCAATTCTTCTCCTGTTCTACTACTCTGGATTTATAATACATAACCAGACACTGTTAAGAACTGTAACTTGTAGTTTTGTGTTCTAAACTTGTAGTTTTATTTCACGCTGTCACCGTTTGAACTAGGGATGTGCGGGTCTAGTCGACTAGTCGACTAAACGGTACAGCTCCTACTAGTCAACACTGAAAACAATAGTCGATTACACGACAGAAAAAAAAACATGATTTTATCATTCAAATTACCATAATTTTAACATTGCATTTAAACATTTTTAAATAAGTTAAAATAAAACATTTGATAATTAATACATTATTTTTAAAAGTTTATCTGGGTGGAAACTACATTTTTACCTCAGACCTCACATGCGTTTTCTTCGTGTCAGTTGCAGTGAGTTCAGAAATGACCATGCGAAAGACGAGCAAGGTGTGGGATTATTTTGAATTAGAAGGAAACGGAAAAGTTTTGTGTAAACTGTGTAATGTCAAATTGTCTTACAATAACTCTACTGGAGCGATGCGTAATCATATTCA